CGGGAGCACCGCCGCGCTTCCCAAGCGACGCACTATCCAGTGCGCCACCGGGCCGGCCCTTTTGGATATATTTTTAAATTACCACAAAAGTTTTGGTTATGGCAGAAATATGTATGTACACTTATACATGCATATGCATATATCTATACATATTTATGTATATAATCACATATATATTCTGAAAATTAGTCTTTCAGCAGTGTAGAGCTGCCAGTGACAGTCTGTATTAATCACTGCAGCCTCTAAATGGTAGAATAATAATAGTAAATACTAATATAGCACTAACTATGTGCCTGCTACTATTCTAAATATTTTAGAAAAAAAAAAAACCCTCAGTTCTTACAACAACCCTGTAACTTATGTATTATCAACTCTATTTTACAGATAAACTAAGTGAGGCACAGAGAGGTTAAGGAATTTTCCCAAGGTTACGCTGCTGTTATGTGATTGATCTAGGAGCACCTAGATTCCTAGCTATTCTGCTCCTTTGACTTTTATATATTTAAGCTAGTCAAGACCCTAGTCAAGAGACAACAGCAGGGCCAGTAGATCTAACAAGTCTGTATTCGAATCCAGGCAATAACATCCCTGAGGCTTAAAGTATGGTTAGGGCAGAGTCGAGCAGGGCAGAGTAGGACAAGCATTCCGTGTACATCTTATGGCAATTTGAAGGGTAAGATTTCTTGGGAAGGTCAAGATTATACTAAGTCGTCATGCGTTTAGCTTGTCCAGATCCCTCATTTTGCTGAGAAAGGAATCTCAAGCCTGAGTATTGGTGGATTGGCCCAATGTCTTTCAGCAGGAGAGTGGCCCAGACCTGGGACTAGACCCACCTCTTGTGTCTGTTCAGGGTACCTTCCAGCTTTGGACCTCTCCCCTTCCTTCCTTCCTTCCTGTCATCCCTCAATTTTTTTGTGGTAAAAGTGGACGAATGCCCATGTCAGTGATACTAATTTGAGGTGGCGTTTACTGGGCACCGACTGTGTTCCAGGTACTGGGCTCAGTGTTGTATGTCACCATTAGCAAACAAAAGCTGATAGGTCATTTTCTTTACTTGGAAAAAATCATCCAGATATTCACCACCTCCAGGAATTTTTATGTTATCTTCCTCACTCTCCTGCACCCCCACCAGCCCCCTCTACCATATGCCTACCTGCTATCATTAAGCCTGTTCCACTGAATTGCCTGGCCTCTTCTCACAATGATAAGAACACAGATTTAGGCATCATACTTCTTAAATTTAATCCCAGGCCCTGCTTCTTGCCCAGTGCAATCTTAGGCAAGCCTCAGTGTATTCATCTGGAAAATGGGGATAATGATGGCATCACTGCTTTTATGAGAATTGTAATGAGAATTAAGTGAAACAGCACGTGGAGAGCACCTAGCAAAGCCTGACAGAGGTGAATGTGAAGTACACGTAAGCTGCTTTCATTATCGATTTAGAAGTAGTTACTATTATTATTATCTGTAGACAGCTCATCCTCTCTATGAACTCCTGGGAACAGGAACGAAACAATCCTTGGCATCCTGGCGTATTGTTAGGTGATTATTAAATGACTACCGAATGGGAGACAATGGAAGTGATATTTACAGATCTCGTAGTAGTGGTTCTTCATGTGTAATCGGTTTTACTTCAGTCATCCAAGATGACATTTTCTTTTAATTCTCAAGGCTTCCTGAGAAAAGCTAGCTCTTCCTGAAATTAATGGTTTTCATCATTAGCAAACTTTTTTTTTTCCCTACCGTAGTAGTATTGTTAGGTCCTGGTGGTTTTCCAAAGCATGTGACTTTGCACGGAGACCTTTTCCAAGCTGCAATCACCTGTCCTCACATTGTACTCTGTTTCGCACAGGCAGTAGGGTTTGCTGTGTCCACCACTGCTTGCCTCCTCCCCGCGTGCCCGTTTTCATAGGGATGACAAGGAGTTCATTGTCACGCTCTCTATTTTCTCTTAGTCTATCAATAAAGCCATGGAGAAGGACCATGAAGAATACAACATTGGCGTCTTGGACATCTATGGCTTTGAAATATTCCAGGTAAGGCCAGTTTGAGTAATTGGGGTTGGGGAGGGTAATGTATTTCATCTGGCCTGCAAGAAATAATTCCAGGCAGTGAAAAACAACCACTCTGGTTCATTTTTACCTTTGTGTGTTCTTCATGTACCTTTACCAAATTAGTTTCTCCTAAATATAAACTATGTTTCTTTCTATTGATGCATCCAACATTCCTGTGAAAGCTTTTCACATAGACATTTCACTAAATCACTCGAGAAATAATTTTTAAATGAGTTTTTGAAATGATTACATGCGAGTAACTTTCTTTTTTTCCAGAAAAATGGCTTTGAACAGTTTTGTATCAATTTTGTGAATGAAAAGTTACAGCAGATTTTTATTGAACTGACATTAAAGGCAGAACAGGTAAGCAGTCCCTCTTCATGAATCTGATTCTGTTTCTAATTCGCTTTGTTTTAAAGGGTATAGATTTCTCTCCTTGGATAATAGATTCAGGATTCAGTCTTGAATTAGAAAATGTACCTAATAACGTCAGGCGGAAAAACCATATGCCATTGTGGCATTTTAGTCTATGAATATAAATACCATCTGCTACATTTTCTTTCTCCTTTAAGCAAATGATGCTGTGCAGTTGGACTTATGACTGGCTGTTTTTACTACACTGACTCATTGACCAAGTAGAAGATGGGAGCCCAGTTCCTACCCCAACTGTCTATGGCATATACTGTGTTCCAAAGGAAAAACTTGGTTTTCTCAGATCTGCTCCACTCCTACCCTTCCCTAAAATAAATGGTTGGTTTTTTTGTTTTGTTTTTTGAGGTATTGACCAAGTAGAAGATGGGAGCCCAGTTCCTACCCCAACTGTCTATGGCATATACTGTGTCCCAAAGGAAAAACTTGGTTTTCTCAGATCTGCTCCACTCCTACCCTTCCCTAAAATAAATGGTTGGTTTTTTTGTTTTGTTTTTTGAGGGTTTTTTGCATCTGGCCAGTAAGGGGATCTGAACCCTTGATGTTGGTACTACCAGTACCACACTCTCCCAAGTTAGCTAACTGGCCAGCTGATTTAACAGAGCTGATATTTTAATTCCAACTTGAGGTAACATGTGTTGCTTATAGTTTCTTCTTAGTTGCTTATAGTTCAGTGCTGGTTCCATCATCTTTCTGAGACCATATTGTTTTAGATTCCTAGGGCCTCAGTAAACTGGGCAGCTTAAAACATCAAAAATTTTTTCTCTCATAGTTCTGGACCCCAGAGTCTGAAATCAAGGTGTCATCAGAGCCATACTCCCTCCAAAGGCTCTAGGGTAGACTCCTTTCTAGAATCCTTCCTCTTCCAGCTTCTGGTGGCTCATTCCTTGGCTTATGACAGTATAACTCCAGTCTCTGCCTCTGTCTTTGCATGGACTTTTCTGTGTCTATGTTCAAATCTCCCTCTCCTTTTCTTTATAAAGATATCATTCTTTGGATTTAGGGAACACCTTAAATCCACGATGGTTTTATTATGAGATCCTTAACGAATTACATCTACATAGACTGTCTTTTCAAACCTCACATTCTGAGGTTCTGGCTGGACATGAATGTTTGGAAGATACTATTCAAGCCACTGTACATATCAATGGCTATTTTGGGATCATTTAGTTGTGAAAGTGCCTATGGCTCTGCTTAAGAAACACCAATAGCCAGTGGGTTTCACATGAACCTTTACCCTGGATTCTAGCTTTCCACCACCTCAGAGTAGCTAGAGCAAGACAACCAGGGGAGAGTGGGGGCGGGGGCTGGAATGGGAAGAATTAGGCAGGGGCTGGATCAGATAGAAATTTATAGGGCATGGCTAAGACTTTGTATTTTATGGTAAGTATGATGAGGACCCATTGAAAAATTTTGAGCAGGGAGTGACATTTGAATTGTGTGCTGAGTTTTTGAAAAGGTCACTCTGGCTCTATAGCCTTACAGATTGGGTGAGGCAGGGGAAAGCAAACCAAAGTGAAAGTTGAAAAACCAGTTAGACTGCTGCGGGAGACTAGGCCAGAAATGGCAGGGGTTTAGACAGCGATGGGAGATGGGAGCTGGGAGCGGGAGAGGTGGTGAGGAAGAAAGAGGCAGTCAGATCCAGTGTATATTTGGAGATGGAACCAGCGGGACTTGCTCAATTAGGAATAGCTAAGAAGGGAAGAGTAATTAAGGGTGATTCTTAGCTTTGTAGCTAGAATAATAGGGCCAGCAGTAAGACTGTTTACTGAAGGGTAAGATTAGACGACACCATGCGAGATGTGGAATCAGAACTCCTCTGGACGTGTTAAGTCTGAGAGGCCTTCTGTACATCCACGCAGAGATTCCACTATGTGGAATGTAAATGAGTCTGGAACTCAGTGGTAAGATCGAGGCTGGAGAAATAAGTCTGGGGGTCGTTAGGCTACAGGTGTTATTTAAAGCCATGGGATTGAATGAAGTCACCTAGAGAAGGAGGGTTGAGAAAACAAGATGTGTAGAAGATTGAGCCCTGAGACCCTCCATCGTATATAAAGATCAGGAAAGAAGAAAAAGCTAGCCTAGAATTCCAACCGAGCAAGAGCAGTGAGGAAGGAGGACAACAGGACAGTGTGGTGTTATCATCAAGTAGAATGAGCAACTAATCTGAAAGAGGACCCTCCGCCTTAGTACCCAGATGCAAATCCGTACTCCTGTCCTGTGTTGAATTCTAAGAGATTTTTTTGGGAACTGGACTTACAGGCTAAGCCATATTGAATTGTCATTTTTATCGGTCAAAAACAGTTGTGTGGTAACAGTTTCATTTGATTCAAACTAGAGATAAAAATCACCAAACAGTGAAATATTTCTTTCCTATCACCTCTTAGGGAAAAAAAAAAATTAAGGTTCCTAGTCTTTGTGGAAGAGCACTCACGTTTTTTTCTTTCATGGTGATTTATGTACTTTTAATATCCATCTGCACAGAGCTCCAGCTAGTCTTGACTGAGGAATAATGTGAGTTCCTGGTTTCTGTCATACAGGAAGAATATGTTCAAGAGGGAATAAGATGGACACCCATTGAGTACTTCAATAACAAAATCGTGTGTGACCTCATAGAGAACAAAGTCGTAAGTATCGGTGTGGTGCATCTCTTCACAGCTAACAGCTTTACACTAAGTGACTTTTTGCTCTCCGTGTTGTTGTTTTAGAACAGGCAATGTGACAACTCTTTTGCAGAGAATTCTAGCAATTACAGTTTTGTGTATATGTGTATGCATGAAAACAGAACAGTAGGGTTTTATTCTTGTAGTAAATATGAACATGTGTATGTGAGTGAAATGTCAATTCACAAATGGAAACTGTTACTGAATTCTAAGAGAACACAGCTATCACTTATATTGATGACAATGCATATGAATTACCATAAGCTGGCCCTGTCTTCTAGTCCAATCATGTCACTTCTAGACTTTAACCCTAAGAAATGATTCAAAAGAAGATAAAATCCGAAAGAAGATAAAGAACTGTTTTTTGTTGTTGTTGTTTTTTAAATGTAAAAGCTGAAAACTGAAAATAATAAAAACATACATAAACAAGACAGTCATTAAATAAATGATAGCATATCAGAGCACAGAATTATAGTCATTGAAATAATAAGTGTGAAGAATATGTAAAACATAAGGAATGTTTACAAATTAGTGCTGTGCAACAAAGAATGACATGACAGAATGGGCACGCGGCGTAAACGCGTCAATAATGCCTAGTGGGTAAAAGGCTGAAAGAGAACATTAAACAATGAATTAGGGTCAAAGATAATGTTTTTATTTTTGTCTTGGTTTGTTAAAGTCAACTTAGTATGAATAGGAGTGAGCAGATAATGATCTGCTCGTCTTGGATAAAACTTCAGGGAGTTAAACAGCATTTTGGAAAATGGAATTTCTTCTATCTATAGAACTAAGTGGAAACTCCCCATTGGGGACTATTAATTGCATTCTTGCCTGAAGGGAAAGACTGACTTTCAAGATGGTATCTTAAGTCTAGGAAGCTGTATCCTCGCTTGAGAAAGGAGCCGGTAAGCATTGTATGTTTTGAGAAGGTCAGTGACTGGGGCCTTGCCTTCTCACTCCCATCAGAACCCTCCTGGGATCATGAGCATCCTGGATGATGTGTGCGCCACGATGCATGCGGTGGGTGAGGGGGCAGATCAGACGCTGCTGCAGAAACTTCAGATGCAGATTGGGAATCACGAGCACTTCAACAGCTGGAACCAGGGCTTCATCATCCACCACTACGCTGGGAAGGTACAGCCAGCAAGAGGGGTTTAACAGGAAAGGGGGAGATATCCATTTTAATGTCTGCCTGTTTTAAGCCTTTGGGTCTGTGATCCATTTCTCATGAGGCAAATGACATCCATGTCCATAGGCCTCACCGTACTTTATTTATTCAACAAACAAGACCTATGAAGTGTTTGGGGAGGACGAAACAAAAGATCGTATGCACCATTGCCTGTTTCTAAAGCATGAATCACCCTGGTACATGCATTAACTGCTAAAGGGATGGATTATTGTCTTGCCTCTGGCTGCAGTCACACACTCGCATTATTGCCTGTCCATGCCCACTGGGAAAATATATCAGGGCCAAGAGCTCACTTTGGGTGTTTGTTCTCACAAAACACATGAGTACTGTGTGTCTACTGTGTGCTGAGCTGCTGTCCATGCCCACTGGGAAAATATATCAGGGCCAAGAGCTCACTTTGGGTGTTTGTTCTCATAAAACACATGAGTACTGTGTGTCTACTGTGTGCTGAGCTTTGTGGGAGTGATGGTGATGCAAAGGTGAGTTGAGGTCATGTCTCCTGGGGGCTTCCTGGTCCTGTGGAAATCTTCTAGTCTCATCTTTCATACCAGCTGATGTCTTGTTAACCAGGGTCCCTGAGCATGAGTTTCTGGCCAAATTGGTGCAACTGTGATACCACTTCTGAGAGAAATTGCAGGGCCTCGGATTACATGGCCCATTGCAATGGATGGATGATCATGAGGGGTTTCACTTTTGTTCTGTCTTAGCTGCAGTTTAGGAAAAGAATTAAGTTTATTACTTAGACACCCCTACGGATCCATTGAAGAAGGGGCATGTGATCTTGAGAGCTAGGGTCCTGCTCATAGGTCATCTGGGCCATCCTGGCAGCCAAATATTCATCAGCATCGACAGGCTATCACCAGCTAAGTCAGCTAACAAGTTAAGTAAGATATGCACAGCCTTCCTGTGACCATTCATGGTGAAATCCCAAAGGCCACATCAGGAAATGCACACATTCTGGTAAGGGTAGCCATGCCAGCTTGGGGTTTTGTCCAATGAAATACTTAAAGGATAAAATTAGATTTCTTTCGGGGCCAGCCCAGTGGCGCACTGCTACAGTGCGCCGCTTGGGAGTACGGCGGCGCTCCCACCGAGGGTTCGGA